TGCATATGTATAATATCATGTATGATGTATGTGTGAAGTTTGATTGTGATTGGTCAAGGCATTTCTAAGATACAGGTCCGAACGCACACACAGATGCACGCACACACACACACACACACACACACGCACGCACGGACGGACGGACACACGGAGGTCAAAACATAAGTCCTCGTTTTTGGACCGCGTCTGAACGAGGACTAAATATATGCTGGGTAGCATACTGACCACAAGACAAATCTAACAATACTAAAGCAATGATAAGCAAATCTGTGAATGAAATGGTACACCCCCCCCCCAATGCGTTTTGTTTCTCATACGTTCGAAAGCAGTGCTTTATACGTTTGTTTTTTTTCAATTCTGTGTACCTATAAAGTGCACCATATATGGTAGAATGAGGGAATATTATCTTTCCTCTTTCTCTCTAATGCATGTATATGGAAACATTATTTAATACAAGTGACCTGACAGTTGAAATAGCTCCACTGCCCTCAAGAACATTGCGGTAGCCAAGTAAAAAAATGAACACCTATAAAACAAAACGCTGTTAAATCCAAAAAGAGTTATTTGGTTCTGGGTGTTGAGAACAAGTCAACTTAACTTCATCAAACATATTGTTCAAAATCAAAGATAGCTTAGAAAGAACTTCCGTGTGCTGAGAGTATTGGAGACACAAAATTACTTGAACTTGAGATATTGATGAAAACGCAGAAAACTAATTATGCAAATAAGGTAACTAATATGAACAGATTTAAGTGTAAAAATAATAAGGTCTGCACAATGTACCAAGTTTCATTGAAATATGATTAGAACCAAAAAAATATTAATTATTATGCTAATTAGAAAATTAATATGAACAGATTTTAACCCAAAATTAGGGACGACGTCAAAAGATCGAAACTTATTTGCTTTAGTTTAGGGGTGGGGGGTTTTGACCTCAAAAAGTTTCTATCCTACAAAAACGATTTTATTATTTTTTAATTTTGTAATTCGTTTTTTTCTCTATCCAATCATGGACAAAAATGAAAAAAAAACACATCCAAGACGAGAAAATGGTTTGGTCCGAGTGTAAAGTCTTTTTACACCCACCAGACAACCAACTGCTATGCCATACTACTGTCAGATTGTATTTAATGGTAAATGTAGTCTGACGCCATGGTAAATAATTATCAATTACGTTTCTGTGGGGGGTTTGGAAAAAAACTAAAGGAATTATGTTTTTATCCTACATTGAACTTTTCATGTTGTCCCTTAATATTAAGACAGTCTATTGTCCTAGAGCATTTATGTACCAAGTTTTATTCAAATGTGATGATCAATACTTGAGATATCAGTATTAATTAATTATGTTAATTAGGTGATTAAGAAGCATAAATATTTACCAAAAACT